GGGGAAAAGGGGAAAAGGGGAGGGTTAGGTGAAATCAGTGGGTTGCAGGGGGGATGAAGGTGCAGCATGTGGCTGCACCATGTCGTGCAAATTTTTGTTTGTTTTCTTTTCTTTTTTTTATGTGCACAATACAAAGGCATCGGTTGCATATCAGACACTCACACACACACACACACACACACACACACACACACACACACACAGAGAGAGAGAGAGAGAGAGAGAGAGAGAGATGGGGGAAGGGGAAAAGGGGGGGGCTAGGAGAAATCGGAGGGTTGCAGGGGGGACGAAGGCGCAGCATGTGGCTGCACCTTGTCGCAAAGTTTTTTGTTTGTTTTCTTTTCCTTTTTTTATGTGCACAATACAAAGGCATCAGTTGCATATCAGAGAGAGAGAGAGATAGCGATAGATAGATAGATAGATAGATAGATAGATAGATAGATAGATAGATAGATAGAGAGAGAGAGAGAGAAAGAGAGAGAGAGAGATGGGGAAGGGTGAAGGGGGAGGGTTAGGAGAAGTTGGCGGAGGAGGGGTACGCTGAAGAAAATACCCCGTGGCGCGACTCTTTTCCGGTTTTCGTTTTTCTTTTTGTTCTTTCTGTGTGCATGTACATGCGTATGTGTGTGTGTGGAAGAGAGAGAGAGAGAGAGGGAGAGAGGGAGAGATGGGGGACGGGGATGGGGATGGGGGGAAGGTTAGCGCAAAGTCGCCAGGGTGGGGGGGAGGGGGGGTGATAACCGCACAGCACGTGGCGTTATCTTTTTTTTCTTTTCGTGGCCCTCTTTCCTTTGTGTGCATGTGTGTGTGTGTGTGTGTGTGTGTGTGTGTGTTATGAGAACAGGACGCTACCGCGACGCTAATCGTGGCGAGTTGTGCTTGAAAGTGCGATCAAAAGTCATACCATCAGAAGGTTGAGTGATCCACATCGTATGGAGAAGGCTTATTCATCCCAAACACAAAATCAATAGATGTGCATACATCGACGTCTATCCAGCACCACAGTACCATGGCCCAAAGGCATTAGCCCACAAGACCGCAAAGGGAAAGCGAAAGACAATCACAACTAGTGGCAGCGCAGGGCAGCCAGCCAAAAAAAACGACATCAGACAATCGACAAGGCACAAAACAACGTGCAGCAGCGAAAGGTTGGAGGGCAAGGGGGAGGCGGGTGGGCACATAAAGACATGGTGTAACAATGCATGACAAAAGGCAAAGGCTGAAGGGCACAGGGAAGGCAGGTAGGCAGACGACAGACAAGCAGACAAAGCAGACAGACCAAAATAAGTCCCGGAACAAGCAAAGACTGAAGAGAATAAAACTGATGATAGATTGTTTCATCGAAGTTGCACCAGCTCATCAGGAGGCTGAACCCTCGACAATCTACGGAATCGCTGTATTTGATGATTTGGGTCATGAACCCTTTACCCTTGCTGAAGGCACCAAGCGGAACATAGCAGTGGGCAGCAACCAGGCAACACAGTAGAGGCCACACGGCTGCACAACGCCAAAAACGACTGCAAGGAACGACATGGCATGCAGGACATGCAGCGCGGTAACTGTGTACTGAAGCACAAGACAATCAAGGCGACCACACTGCAAGGGACGACAGGGCAAGCGAACCAGCAGCTCAGCAACTGTGGAGCGGAGCACAAGGCACCAGCAACGAGGCAACCAACCTACGAAGCACACAAGTGGCAAACACGGAAGGCACGGCCAGCGGATGAGCAGCAAGGCACCGGAGTGGCGAAGTGCAAGGCAAGGCCAGCAACATGGCCACACCACACAACGAACACAGCAATTTGCAGAGAGCCAAATGTGAAGCCAGCGCGGCAGGCAGCAAGGCAGCGGCAGAGAGCGGAAGAGGCAGTCCACACATCCAACACGGAACAAAGCAGCGCACAACTTACTCACATCACGATTGAACCCCGCAGACTGTTGGTTCCCACCACCCACTGAGCCAGGGAATCACTTCGACGATCATCCGTCATCACCCACAGGCAACACAGACACCCCGAACCGAGCAGCCCCCCTAAGCGTGCAGTAGGCACTCCAGAACTGGAATCACCGACTGTTTGGCACTACTTAAGGGTGCTCGGTTGGGCACACAACAAACTACTTAGAAAAAATCAGAGAAATGACTTACAAAAAACTGTGTGTGTGTGTGTGTGTGTGTGTGTGTGTGTGTGTGTGTGTGTGTGTGTGTGTCTGTGAGAGAGAGAGAGACAGAGAGAGAGATGGGGGAGGGAGAAGGGGGAGGGTTAGGAGAAGTTGGGGGAGGAGGGGTAATGTGAAAGCG